AAGATTAAGGTGTTCTAATCAGCAGTGGCATCGTGGTTAAGAGTTCGGCTGCTAACCAAAAGGTCAGCAGTTTGAATCCACCAGCCGCTCCTTGGAAACCCTATGAGGCAGTTCTACTCTGTCGTATAGGGTCACTATGAATCGAAATCAACTCGACAGCAAGGGTTTTTTGTTTTAATCAGCAATAAAGAAGAAAATTAAGTGAAAGTTAAAGAAAGTCTCTTGAAATATTTGGATTTTTTTAATCAAAAATATAAGTTTGCCAAGGAAATACCTGTGTTGTGAGTAAAACTCCTTTACAGTTTTCAATGTAGTAGCAAGTTAGAGAAAACAACCTTAGATTTGATTGGTTTTATTCTTCCTTATGATGGTAAAAATATGATATTAAACTGGTATTTGATAGTTTCGGGTGAGTGTTTTGCTGAAGGGAATTTATCAAAATAGTTTTCATATCAGAAATGCTGCCTCTGAAAGAGTTTGTAGGTTGCTTTTTTGATAGTACTTTTAATTTCTGATAGGCTCAAATTTTTAATGTTAGTTTACTTTATTAAAAAAAAATATAACCACACTCTCTCAAATATGAAACCTGGTCCTGGTTGCCAGTGTATTCATTTATCAGAATACAGTTTTCTCTTAAATTGGTCATTACCCCATTAACAACCAGTTGTTATGTTAACAGACCAAGGGTTGTTAACATTTCCAGCTAAATTGTTAACAGAAAGTTTCATCCCTTATTTAAACTGAAGTTCTGTTGGATAGAGCATGACTTCTTTGGCAACTACTAATTCATCGACACTTAAAAAATAAGTACAATGGGGAATGTGTGTAAAGGCACTGTGTTTTATAGATTACACCACAGACGTGGTATTTAGTTTTATGTGGAAAACGTGTATCTCAATGAAATCGTGTTGCCGCTCAATGGCATATGTCTCTGATGGGCTTATTAAAATAATCTGATTGTGTGTGTTAACTAGATAAATACAATTAAACAGGTTTTATTTATAAATTAATTTCTCTAAACGTGTATCTAGCCATTCAAAGTGCCAACCATATGAGAGGCATAATTTTAGGCAATGGATGAAATTAACTAAGGGGAAAAGGGAGGTTTCTTTTTAACTTTTACATTTGTTCACAATTTCAGTGTTTCAAGTGGGTTTATGTTAGAGCAATTCCAATCAAAGATTTTATATAGTCTGGG